ACCAGCTGAAGAGGCGGGGGCTGGTTCGGGGGCAGCTCAGGGCTTCGGGCCGAAACTCGGGTGCACGGAACTCGCAGTCTGCAGGTGGTTGGAAGGGAGGCTGAGGGCACGGCAGAGGGGGGCCCTGCTCAGGCTAGGTGGGTGAGAAGCAGCTAGCAAGGGAGGGAGGCTCCAGGATGGCCCCCAAAGCCGGGGAGCGAGCTCCAGGCAGCCGAGGAGGGGCCAAGGCTGTCCCCCTGCCTGCCCGGAGGCCTCGCTGGCCCAGGGACGCCGTGGCCTGACGCAGCCAGCCTGCCTGCCTACCACCCGTGCGCGAGGGCCAGCTGGGGTGATTTCCGCAGGAAGAGCACGCAGACCCAGAGCCTCCCGGGACTCACCTTTCCTCCTTGTTTTTGCAGATGCATTCCCCGATGATCTCCTTGATTTCAGGATCATGCACTTTCTCAAAGCTGGCAGGCTTGATGCCCTGTTAAGACAAGATGAGTGGAGTCACCGACAGGACCTGCCTCCTGCTCAGCTGGCACTAACCCCGAAGGGGAGGAGGCAGGAGGCGCACCAGCTTGCTGGGGGCTCAGCTCATCCCGAGTCCCCGGCGAAGTGCTGTCAGGAGCAGCAGAGTCTGAGAAAGAGCCCAACCCAGCCCCCGCCTGATGGGAGCACCCGCCCCCCAGTGTGGATGAGGCGGCCGGGCAGAGGGGCCACCTTCCACACCACACCCTCCCGGGAGGGTACTGAGGGCACTGTGTGGTCACTGCTGCTGGCTAAGGGCACCAGACATCTGCCCGACCGTGGCCACAATCAGGGCTGACTTCCCCAGGCCTGGTGGCTCAGGGTTTAGTGTCGGTGCCGGGCGGTTCTGCACCAAGGGCCCAGCGGGTGCCAGCGATGGCCATGGCATGGGGGCACAGGACCCCAAAGCGCACACCCTGAGGCCAGAGGATCCAGGAGAAGCAGGGGATGGACTGCAGGGTTCACGTGCAGCTGCTGGGGGCAGGGGCTTGGGGGAGGGTTTTTAAACACACTGAGGAGCCTCACCCATCACATTCCTCAACGAGACTCTGCCTCCCCAGTCCTCATCTTGGCTTTTTTGTTTTTAAACACAGAGAACATGATGCCTATGTTTTCCCACGGAGAGAGGGGGCGGGACGGTGGGGAGGGGTGGCCTCCAGCCCAGAGGTGGACCCAAGAGTGCAGGACCCCTGGCGGCTCCCGCCACCAGGTGGGGCCCTGCTGTGCCCAACAAACCCCTGACCCTCAGGCCCCAGGCCCATAACCCATGGGAATCGTGTGTGTCCAACATGCAGGAGGGTCTGTGCAGCAACAGAGTGGGACACGGGGCTCTGGCACGGCCGAGAACTTCCTGGTGGAGGTGAGGACCCCATGCTGTCCCACTGAGGCCAACAGAAAGAAGAGTCTAATTACAACAGGAGGAAGGGCCAAGGTCCCTATGGGAGGCAGGTGGGCTGAGAAACACAACTACAGGTAAACACACGTGTAAGCTGTCATCCACCTCTGCAGGGCTGAGGCCCCCAAAGCAGGTGAAGAACGTGCCAGAACGGCTGCCATTTTGAAAGGGCTCGTGTCCCCAAGCTCAGACGTATGGGCTCGGGCAGCTGGCAGCAGGGACACGGCATGCCTGAGAGACCTGGGGTCGGGGGCAGATGCTGGATGCTGGAACAGCGACAGGAGCTCTGGCCTGCGTCCCTGGCCTGCGAGGGACCAGGGTGGCCGTGGAGCACACCAGCAGGAATCAGTCCTGTCTCCCCCAGCCCAGCAGACAGACCACAGCAGCATCCACGTGCGCAACCAGAAGCCAGAGTTGGTGGACTGCTCCCCGCGCACCCCTGCAAGCTTGGCAATGAGGCCCTAACCCCCTGGGGTGTCCCCTGCCCCATGGAGGACCACTGCCCACGAGCACAAGCCTGCCTTCTCCTGCCAGCACCGCCAAGGCACTGCACGCCCACCTATGCGTCTCTGCCGACCCAGCCGGATCCTGGGTGCGTACCCACCCCCAACACCCTCAGCAGCACACAGTAGGGGCTCAAAACAAGTGACCGATAACTCAGAATTAAGACTGAAGGAGAGAAATGAGCCGTGACCTGTCAGGAGCTCAGAGTGGAGGGCAGGGAGAGGACAGGTGCCCTGGGGTGCTGGGGACCACACTCCTCGCCTGTCTGCAGAAGCGAGGGGTGCACCAGGCAGGGCAAGGCAACCAGGACTCGGGGGTCATGGGGCCTGGTGCCCAGAAAAGCCACGACCTCACAGGGCATGACGGCCATCAAGGAAGGACAGGGTGATCCGTCCACACAGCTGAAGCCACCAGATCACAGCTGACAACCGCGTGGGCACAGACCAGACACCAAGAAAGCCAACAGGCCCAGGGGATGGCGGCCCAGACAAGGCTCTGGGGGCAGGTGCTTCCTGAAGAAGCCCCGAAGGTGCTACAGCCTCCAGTCACACATGAGGCCCATGTGTCTCCACCGCCAGCTCAGAGGTCTGCACGGCCACCCCGCCAAGCTAGACAGCCTCAGTTTCCTCTCTATGACAGCGTCCTTCCCCTCCTCACAGGGTACAGAGAGGGTCTCACAAAGCAGGCCCACCACGATGGCCCGCGGACTCACACAGGTGACCTTCCGGTAGATCTGGGCTGCATTCTGGCACTCGGAGTAGGGGTACTCTGAGGTGGCCATCTCCAGCATGCACATCCCGAAGGCATAGACGTCCACGGACTCGTCGTAATGCTCCTCGTACATCTCGGGCGCCATGAACTCTGGGGTGCCTGCGTCCAGGAGCAACAGAACCAGGGTCAGCAGCTAGTGGGCCCAAGGCCCCCCACACCCCCCATCCGCACACTGTGCCACTAGCCCTGGAACCTGAGATTCAGCCAGGAGTGCTCTGCAGATGGTTCCCCGCAATTCCCCCAGAACCCCCCTGGTTCCGGAGCACATGAGCCCACGGCACTGGTGGAGCCCACACAGCTAGGAGCCCACCACTTCCCGGGGCCCCGTCTGTGCCTGAAACCCTGCAGAGGTCACTCGCTGAGGAGCACACCGCTCCTGGCCGCGGGCCGGATAACCCAGGGCCTACAGAAACTCAGGGTCCCCGCATTGCTACCTAAACTGCAAACACAGGCACACTACACGGCAAAGTGTCAGAAAGCTCAGACGGGGAGCGTCTACGCTGACGGTGTCAGCCACGCGCCCGTGGGGGCTCGGGTGGGAAAGGCGCGTGTGTCCCAAACACAGGAGGCTTTAAAATGACACTTATCACCCTGAACGTTTCAACAGACTGAGTGAAATAAACAAAATATTCAGTTATGCAGCTATGCACACACGACCTCCTCTCCACAAACCAACAAGCAAAGACCAAGAGGACACGTCAGGGCAGTGGGGTCTGGCTGACGTCCTTTGGTTACACTGATCTGGGTTTTGTTATTTTTCTATAACAAACTTCTTTAAAAATCACAAAATCCTGGGGCACCTGCTGGCTCAGTCGGTTGAGCATCCGACTCTTGATTTCAGCTCAGGTCATGATCCCAGGGTCATGGGAGTCGAGCCCTGAGTCGGGCTCCGCACTGAGCCCGCAGCCTGCTTGAGATCTTCTCTACCTCTCCCTCTGCCCCTCCCCCACTCATGCTCTCTGTGTCTCTAAAATACAATTTCAGAAAAATTTTAAAATCACAAAATCCTTGGGGCATCTGTGTGGCTCAGTCAGTTAAGCCACACAGATGGCTTGGTAATCGGCTCAGGTCATGATCTTGAGGTTCGTGAGATTGAGCCCCACGTTGGGCTCGGTGCTGAGAGTGCAGAGCCTGCTTGGGATTCTCTCTCTCCCCCTCCCTCTCTCCCCCTCCCCCGCTCCATCTCTCTCAAAATAAATAAACTTTTAAAAAAAGTTACAAATCACAAACTCGTCTTGTAAAATAGGTCCAACTGAGTACCCAGCCGAACACAAAGCAAAGGGGAGCACTGAACATCAACCTCGATGAGGCTTCCACACCTCTTCAACTGCCTTGACCTCGACATTTTCAAAATGTTCTAGTTTCTTTAAAAAGCAGCCGCAGGGGCGCCTAGGTGGCGCAGTCAGCTAAAGCGTCCGACTTCAGCCAGGTCATGATCTCGCGGTCCGTGAGTTTGAGCCCCGCGTCGGCTCTGGGCTGATGGCTCAGAGCCTGGAGCCTGTTTCCGATTCTGTATCTCCCTCTCTCTCTGCCCCTCCCCCGTTCATGCTCTGTCTCTCTCTGTCCCAAAAATAAATAAACGTTGAAAAAAAAAAAATTAAAAAAAAAAAAAAAAGCAGCCGCAGAACAGCACACGTGGGGTCATCAATTGTCTTCGTGGCCATCTCTGGGATACAGACAGATAGGTTACCCAAAAGTTTAACTTTTTCTCGTTAATGCGAATTTCGATTTACATATGTTCAACGAAAAAGTTAACCTTTTGGGTAAGAAACGGCAAAAGCAGGAACTATCTGCAGGTCTACGTGTATAAGAACACATGTGAAGAATTCTCAGAGGTTCCAGATCAGAAATAATGGGAACAGGGTGGACAGAGAAGTCAGAGGGAACTTTTACTAGGAATACTTTCTTCTTTTTGAGGCACATGACTGACTGGAGGAAATGTTTGCACTTGGCCGTGCATGTGTACCAGGGAAGAGGGAAGGCAGTCCAGGGCTCCGGCAGGAAGCTGGGAGCATAGCCACCCCAAGGCCCCACACGAGCCCCGCGGTGGCCCGGTCTCTCCTGAGGCCCCCGCAACCAGGAATGCAGCTCCGAAAGAAACCCCCCAAGGCCCCAGACCTTGCCTTTCAGGGTGGGCATGGGAGGTGTGGGTGCAGGGGAGGGGGCAGTGCAGAGCCAGGTTGGGGTTGCCCACTTGCACACGTGCTTGGGCCACAGACACAGACTATCTTCTCTTTCCTCTCACTGCAGCCATTCAAACCTGCGTGGTGAAAATAATACGTGTGCCCCCCCCCCCACGCACACACATGTGCCTGTGCACCTCCTTGGCCCCCACGGCCCCACATTCCCTGCGTCCTGGCCACCATGGCCACGAATGCCTGCTGGCAGCACCAGCTCAGGACCCGGCCAACATAAACACAGCACGAGAGTGGTAATGGCATCAGATCCGGGTGGCTCTCGGAGACAAAGCCCACAAGGGACACGTGACCCACAGCTGTGTGTACACACAGCATCAAGAGGCCATGGCCATAATGTTTACAATAAGGACACTGCCTGGGCTCTAGGGACCTTCTCACCCAATCCATCCACCCCCTTCCCACTGGCTGACACAGAGCCCCCAGGTCCCGCTCCACAGGGCCCCCACCAAGGAAGTGGACAGGTCCTTGGAGGCCACCGAGAGACATCCAAAGTGGGCTGCACCTAAAGTGCAAACCCAAACGCCTGCACAAGCCCCTCTGACAGCTGCACCAGAAGCGGGTCCACAGTCAAGTGTTCCTGAAGATGCCCTGGGCACCGACAGCTGTGTCCTCTGACGGGGAAGGGGCCTGGCTGCTCGGGGCCGGGGACATGTGCTAATCACCCCTCATTCCCCAGGAGTCTGGAGCTTCCTGGGCCCCAGCTGAGCCAAAGCTGAGATGACCAGGGACCCCACAGAACCAGGCACCCTGTGTGGGGCTTGGGGCCCAATGTGCCTGCTGGAAACGCCCAGCTTTCACATCCCCCCTCACACCACCCAGTACCTTGACAGCCCGCCTCTGAGAGGGACAGAGCCGCCAGCCAGAGAAAGCCCAGGGGGCTTCACCAGGCACCTCACCCCCGAGGCCAAATCTCTAAAACCTGCCCGGAAACCACCAGCCGCTCAGAGGCACGCTCCCTACAGCCCTGGACCCCCCAGCCGGGCCCTTGCCTGTCCCAACCATTTCACAGAAAGAGAAACTGAGGCCTAGTCGGCCCCCCCACCCCATCACTTAGCTCCCCAGAGCTGCTGGCGGCCCCTGTCCACAGGACACCCCATGCAGTTGCCCTGCTCCAGATGTCACGCTCCAAACCCTCTCGCCCTGCCAGAGAAGTTTCCAGATTCCTGGAGGGTTCATTTGCCACAGATAGGCCAAGTTCTGTCCCCAAGTGTGCGTCAAAACCATGAGGTTGCAAAGCCCTGAGGTCACCCTCGTCTGTCCTGTGTCCCCACCTACGGAAAGAAAGGCTAGCAAACCAGCACCCACACCAAATCCCTCAGCCTCAGTGCCCCCACACACTTGCTCCAGACTCCTTCTCGTGGGCCTCATGGCCTGGAGTGACCCACCACCTCCCCACCTGCTCCAGCCTCACCAGCCACAAAGCCCCAAGTCCCTCTGTCATCGAGGCCTCCTTGCCGCTGCGTATCCACAGCCCCTTGGGCGCCAGCTGGCCTCTCCGCCCGACCCATACAGCCAGGGACGCCCCCACACACAGTCCAGGCCACGGCCGGGCCCCAGGACATAGGCTTACCGATCACGCTCTTGGCAAAGGACGCCCTCTTGAGAGTGGCCAGGCCCAAGTCGCCGATCTTCACAGAGCCGGTGGGCCCAGTGATGAAGATGTTGTCACACTTGAGGTCCCGGTGGATGATGGGGGGCGTCCTGGTGTGCAGGAACAGCAGCCCCTTCAGGATCTGCCGGCACCAGCTGCGCAGGACCTTGGGCTTCATCACCTTGAACCGCTTCAGGTACCTGCGGACGGGGGCGCGGCTCACCTGCGGCTCCCGCGGGAGGGGGCCATGTATCCACCACCCAGACGGGGACGCTGCTGAGAGAGGCCCCGGGACACAGGAGCCACCGCGGCCCCTGCGCCCGGACCAGGCCCACCCTGAGATGCAGCCAGCAGGTGGGGGCGTGCTCACGTCTTCAGCGTCCCCGAGGTCATCAGCTCGGTCACCAGCACGATGCACCTCTTCCCCCTGGCACTGGACTCCCAGAAGTCATAGAAGCGCACGATGTTGGGGTGCTGCAGGCCCTTGAGCATCTCGGCCTCCTCTTTGAACCGCTGCCTCTCCAGCTTGGTGAGCTTCCGGTCCTAGAGAAACACACAGGCTGAAGGGCCTTCGGCCCAGCCAGGGGGCCCGGCCGGCACCTGCCTGCACCCTCACGGCTCCCTGTGCCCAGGGTGCACCAGAGGGAGGGGCCCAGGGCCACAGAGGGTTCGGCCCAGTCCCTCTGTTGGGTCCTCCCACATCCGTGACGCCTGACCCCGCAGCCTCGTGGCCCTGGATGAGGCACTGCCTGCACTGAGACCCCAGCAGAAGGATCTCCGGGAGCCAGAGACACGCGGAAAATCCACACCACAGCACATACACACTTTCTCCCAAAAAACACTTCTGAGGCCTCGTTCCCTCGGTACCCCATTCTGCCACAGAACAGACCTTAGCCCTCTTCCAATTCACACGCACCTTCAAGGACGTGCTCGACCGGGGAGCAGAGGAAAACTGGGAAACCAGGAGACTCACAAGAGACCAGAGTCGCGCCAGGCCCCACAGGGCTGGAGGGCACGGCAGACACGACCTGAAGTTTTTCATGGGACACGGCAACACCAACCTCCCAGTCCTAGGGTTCCCTGTGCGGTGCTGCCCACACGCCCTTCGCCACATCTGAACTCCCTCCAGCGCCCCCCCTGCACCCCCTGCCCCCATCTGCCGCCGCCCGGCCCTGCCTGCCTGGCCCGGCCCTTCCAGAACCACTCCGGTGGGCTCTCAGCACAAAGCTGCCGTCATTTCCAGCCTCGTACTACGCGGAGCCTCACCTCTGCGGGCCCCGGTGTGGCCATCTCCCCACACCTGTGCCCTCCCACCATGACTCCCACAAGGACACAGAGGCCTCTACAATTGGACGCGTAACAGTGAGTTTTGAGAAGTGTGTGAATGCGGACTGACAGGGGGAGTTGGAACTGAAAAGAAACACACAGGCCAAGACTTTAGCGTCTTTCTGAAAGACCCCAGAAGACATCAAGCAGACTCCCTTCAACCCTGAGAGGAAAGGGGCCCAGGATCAGGACAAGGCCATCAGCTGGTGAAGAAATTCCACCCCAAGGGATTCCCTCCCACCAGCCCTGCCCCCGACAAACCCTCTTCGGCCTGTTTGTGCACACGTGGGACCCACGGCATGACACCAGCACAGGGAAGTAGTGGGAGGGCCGTCCACACAGCTGACCCCAGAAGAACAAGTAATTCAGGGGCAGAGGTGACTTCAAGAAATCTAGTTCATGTGCTCACCAGGTCTAAGCGGCCGACACACACAAGTAAGAGCACCATTCTGTTTAAAAAGGAAGAATCAAGATCCTTAAAAAGGAACAATCAAGCTTCTGCAAATTAAGGCTCCACGTTTCAAAAAGAAGATATTCTGTGATCGAATGAAAACACTGAGTACAAAAAATTAAGCATTTAATCCAGACAAGAACACGCAAAGATGCTCCATTCATCAAAAATGAAAATTTACAGGATGCCTGGGTGGCTCAGTCGGTTGAGCGTCCGACTTCGGCTCAGGTCACGATCTTGTGATTCGTGAGTTCGAGCCCCACATCGGTCTCTGTGTTGACAGCTCGGAACCTGGAGCTGCTTCGGATTCGGTGTCTCCCTCTCTCTGCCCCTCCCCACACCCTCTTGTGTGCACGGTCTCTCTCAAAAATAAAATAAAATGTTAAACAAAAATTTTTTAATGAGAATTTACTTAAGAGAATAAAAATCAAGCTACAGACCGGAGAAACTCTTCCACAATATATCTGACACGAGACTCTATCCAGAACACGGACAGAACTCCTACAATTCTATAAAACAAACACGAAGAGGTTAAGATGAAGAAATGGCCAACAAGCACATGACAAGGCACTCGCCATCCTGAGTCACCAGGAAAATGCCCATCACTGCCCGAGGTGCGCCCCACGCGCGCCAGCAGACCACCGTGACATCACTGCCCCACGCGCACCAGCACATAAGATCTGAGTCTCATTATATGAAAATAATAGCTTAATTTTTCAAATATAAAAAATTAAAGTGAAAACACCCAATAAACGAATGAGAGCAAGAGAAGGGAACCATGAAGGGACATGAACAGCTGAAGGCCCTGACAACGTGTGACAGGAGCTGCAGGAGGACAGCCAGTCCCAGGAAGGAGGGGACAGCAGAGCAGCGGCCCCCAGAGCTGAGAGGAGAGCCCTTTAGGGAGCAGTGGGTGCGGGGCCAGAAAAACCGGAAACCGGTCCTGGTCCAGACCCTTCCACGAAGCCAGGGGGCAACTCCCACCTACAGAGGACCGTGGGCCCAGGGGCCAGCATCAGCTGCGACACGACCCTCAGAGTGCCCACCCGGCCTGGAGTCTCACGGCCAGCCGCGCACCCAAAGACCTACTTGCCCACACACAACAGCCAAAGGCTCCTTGTGGGCACCTAGGTGCAATGGCCACTGCAGGAACAGTGCATTGCCGCCAACACAGCACTGCCCAGCAGAAGCGGGCATGGCAAAGCTGGCCTGCAGCCCCAGAGGGACCGCTGACCTGACCGAGCCTCGTAGGGGAGGGGGGCCGTGCCGCATGGGAGAGGAGGATTGGGGCCAGCACAGCGTGGGAGAGGGGGGTCGCCCGTGTGAGGGAGGAGGACAGGGGCCCATGCCGTGTGGGGGAGGGGGGCCCGCATCAGGGAGGAGGACGGGGGCCCACGGCGCGCTCCCCACCTCCACCACCAGCCAGGCTTCCAGTGTCACCCATTCTGGTCACTGACTCTGGAGGAAACGCTCAGGATCGTTAACACGTGTGTCCTGTTTGCCATGTATCAGCATCAATCACCAGAAATGAAAGATCTCACTGCACTTTCAGAGAGCAAGTTCGTGTCATAAATGACATAACCAACCAGCCCCGAGAGGGAGAGGAGGGCGCCGCCTATGCCAAAGGTACGAGGTCAAAGACACGGGTGGAATGTGGTCAGACTTCCAGGATGGGGCCTCTCAGGGCCCAGAGGTGGGAGGGAGCAGGCCTCCTTTATATTCCAAGCCACCCAGCTATTTTTAACTTTGACACACACTGCTTGATGGCTGAAAAGGTCAGTCGGTGTATCCTCAGAGCGCTGCCCGGCAGCCCCACAGAGCCGGCCCCGGTTCTCGGGCACTGCGGGCTGATCGCTGGGCAGCCCCATCACACCAGCCCCTCCACGCAGGGAGAGCCTCCATGGAGGGAGAGCCACCCTGGCACCGGGCATGTTGTCACTGTTTGGGACGCAATCCTGATGTGCTGGGACGCCTTGAGGTCATGAAGCAGGGCAGGAGGAAGGCCCCCAGACCTGCATGGGCTGGCATCTGGCTGGACAGCTCACCCCTCCCAGACACAGAGGACAGGTTGCTGACACCGGCTTCCTACCACCAGGCACCCCAAAGATAGTGGGAGCCCATCAGATAAAGGATAAAGGCATCCTGGGACGATGCTGTCTCATCTCCTATAGGAAAAGGGCCTAGTGGGCCATGGACGACAGCCCTGGGCAGGAGCAGGCAGCCAGGTGATCAGAGGAGGACAGCCCTGGGTCCGACCAGCCCCTCCCACGACCTGGGAGTCACCAGCTCTGCCCAAACAGCTTCCCTGGCAGGAAGTGAAGTCCTGTGACCCAGAGGACTGGGTCACTGGCTACTCTTGGGGGGTGGGGTCCCTGCCTGCTCTGCGGGAGGAGGGGGGTGTCTGCAGCCCTCTGCTCAGCCGGGCAAAGCCCAGCCAGCCTTGTAAGGAGCAGAGCCGCCTGGCGACCCCGAGCCCAGGCAGGATCCATCCACACAGGGCACAGAGGCAGGGATGGGGGGCATGAGCAGCCAGGACAGTGCCCAGGATCAGTAAAGCCAGAGGCCTGGGGTGACAACCTGGCACAGGCCATCTCTCCAGCCCCGTTCGGCTAAAAAGCAAAGCAAAAGAAAGCCTCAAGGATCTCTGTTGAGAAGGGTCCCATGTCAGGGAATCAGCCCAGGATGGGTGCCAAGGGACAGCTGAGCCAGGACGAGGGTCCCCGGCCCCCGTGGGAGGACACGAGGCAGGCTCCACCCCGGCTGCTGTGGCGGTGCTGAAGTGCTGTGGGGTCAGGACATCCCCAGGGTGCTTTCCACACGGGGAGAGCTCGGACATCTGTGTGCCTCACTCGGCCACCAGATGGTCACTGCGGCTCTGGGCACGCAGGACAGGCCTGGGGTGGGGCACTCCAACATGCTACCAGACCGTGCCACCACCGGGGTGATGGGAGGGGTGGGTGGCGCTGGCCGGGGCAGCCTGGTGCCAGGGGAGAACCCCTGTGGCCTGCGGAGAAGAGAAGAAGGCACCCACTCGGGTTGCCTGCGGTTTCCATCAGCACAGGGCGGGCGGCCGCAGGGGCCCCCGAGGGGAGGCCAGGAGGCTGGCGGCTCTGGACCCCGCAGCTCCCCTCTCGGCAGCAGCGATGCTCTCCTTCCTCCCACAGTGACCTGCTCCCTCTCACGTTCACTGCGGGTTTAAAAATAAACTCCCTTCTCTTAAACCAAGTACCTCCTCAACCCCACTCATCTTAAACAACAGTCTGCGAGCCAGCGTAGGCTTCTCCTGATGCGTGTTTACAATAAAGCATCATTACTAACGTGAGGGGCTCTCAGTGGCTGCCACCAAAGGGAGAAAGCACAGAGGCAGCAGGAAGGGCCCCCTGCAGCACAGTCTGCATGGGCAGGGTCGGCGCAGGCAGAGTCAGTGTGGGCAGGGGCGGCATGGGCAGGGTCAGTGGACGGGGGTGGTGCAGGCAGGGTCAGCTCGGGCAGGGTCAGCAGGCAGGGTCGGCATGGGCAGGGTCAGTGGACAGGGGTGGTGCAGGCAGGGTCAGCTTGGGCTGGGTCGGTGTGGGCAGGGTGCAGGGTGGGCAGGTAGGATCAGCACAGGCAGGGTCAGTGTGGGCAGGGTCGGCGGGCAGGGTCAGCATGGGCAGGATCAGCAGGCAGGGTCGGCACGGGCAGAGTCAGTGGGCAGGGTCGGCGGGCAGGGTCAGTGGGCACGATCAGTGCAGGCCAGCACGCATCCTCATCCAGAACCCCAGGAGGCTGTGAATCCAGCTGCTGGCCCCTCCCTGCGTTTGTAAATAATCCCGTTTTTTTTTTAAGGGGGAAGTGGAGCCACCAAGCCACTCAAAACTAGTGCCTTTTGGGCCTTAGCTCGTCCAAGGCCACCCCAGCGGCCCACCCTTCCCCCAACAGGCAGCACCATGGCAGCCAGGTGGCCGCCCCCACCACACCCCTGCAGGACCCTCACGTGTACAAGCACTCATCCAAACTGTCCCCATAGGTTGAAGTAGCATACAGGCCGTCTGTCATTGCCAGCACTTTGTGAACAATGACGGTCAACACTGCTCGAAATGGTTCCCGTGGAATTTGACGGTCTCCTCAGCCGTTCTGGAAACAGGCGAATGTAACTCCAGCGTGCATTTGCGTTTCCCACAGACCTGAGGGGCCACAGCCTTCCACCAAAGTCCCCGGGATCTCCGGACCACACATCGCCTCCATAAAATAATACACATTGCAATTCTGGGTTCTTTGTGTCCTATGCTCATGGACTCTGAGGGCCACGCGTCCTCCCTCAGGATTGAGCCACCGTAAGAGTCGGTGGTGCCCAACTGATCACACAGACGACAAGCGTGACTGAACACACCTCCTACAAGCCATGGGGGGGCCCTGTCCCAGTCACCAGCCATGGCCTGCGAGGAAACATTAAATGTCACTGGGTTGAGGCCAGACTGGCATTGATCACATCCACCACGGGCTCAGGTCGGCCAGCAGAGGGTGTCCCTGTCATCAGGGCCTCTGCCAAGTTCCATGGACACGCAGTGGGCTGTGTCACCCTGTCCACAGTAGTCCCCATCCCTGGATCCTCCCTGGGGTCTCATGTCGCTTTGCACCCTGGGCAAGACTGGCCACGAGGGTGAGGCCCAGGGTGGGTGCAGGTGGCAGCCCCCATCCCCGGTAAAAGCTTGGCAGGTCACTTTCAGGAATGGGCCCCCAGTGCTGGGCACCCTGGGGGGTGAAGGCCTCTGCCCCACCTCCGACAAGGCCCTGGGTCAGGAGCTGGAGGACCTTTCAACACCCTCCTCACAGAGCAGACAGGCCACAGAGGGAAGCCATCGGGGGTGGGGAGCAATCAAGGCCTATGTGGGCACACGGCCACGTGCCGCCACCAGCATCCATGGGGCACAGCACACCCAGGGGCAGGAACGCGCTGGGCAAGCCTGAGCCCACCCCCAGGCCTCCACTGTCCAGCTGGCCCCTCCTGGCCAGGGTCTCAACTCCAAGCCGTGGCCTGGCTGCACCCTGTCCCCTCTGTATGGCAGCTAAGGACAGAGATCTCCCAGGACCCATTCTTTCTGGGAAGCAGGTAGGCAAGGGAGAACAGGGTATGGGGCCACCAGGGCGGTGGGACGAAGGAAAGGAAGAGGCCAGGGCAGCAGACTGCAACAGCCAAGAATCGGCTCTAACCCTGGGACCCAGGCCTGGAGAAGAGGGTCATCACGGTGTGAAATGCAGTGGCAACAGGGCAGCAGCATAGGAGCCGGCAGGGGAAACCCAGCGGCCACGCCCCCATGGGCTCCCACGTGCTGGGAGAGTGTCCACACTGGGCACAGGCGACCCAAGGCCCAGCAGGCAGCGGCCAAGCAGCAGCCATGCCCCGCACCAGACCACACCCCACGTCTGCTTTTTAGGATGGACAGTCTCACCCCAGGCCGCATCCCCACAGGACATCTCAAGACAGATGTGGACACACCAAGGTCACAAGGTTCCGGGTGGAACACCCCAACCAAGGACAATGCCTGCGGGGATGGGTGGGGCAGGACAGTCAATACCACCCTGCCTCGGGCCAGCTGTTGCCACGCTGCAGGGGCTTTGGCCACCAATGGCCTCAGGACAGTGTCCCGAGTGGGTATGCCCCGGGCCTGAACATCTACGGTCTCGCTCCAGGCCAGCCGCTGCACCAGGGGGTGGGGCAGGGGGTCACTGCCAGACAGACCCAGCGCAAGTGATGCACAGGGACTGAGGGAAGCCGGGGGTGAGGGAAGGTCCACAGCTCAGATCTGCCCCAGTGCTATGAACTGACGCCTCGGCTCCTCCCAAGTTGGCAGCAAGAGCCTTGGGGCCAAATCAAGACGGGACAGTAGGTGCTCAGTGCACACACCTGAAACACGAGCCACCAGCTCTCAGTCTGACTCCAGTGAAGAGACAGGAGCCCCCCACATTCAGCCCAACAAAACAGCTCTGAGTGACATGTGGATGTGAGTGCTTATCATGCAGCTGTTCCAAACTGAGACGTCATCAAAGTATAATAAATATAGGGGCGCCTGGGTGGCTCAGTCGGTTAAGCGTCCGACTTCGGCTCAGGTCATGATCTCACGGTCCGTGAGTTCGAGCCCCGCGTCGGGCTCTGTGCTGACAGCTCAGAGCCTGGAGCCTGCTTCCGATTCTGTGTCTCCCTCTCTCTCTGACCCTCCCCCATTCATGCTCGGTCTCTCTCTGTCTCAAAAATAAATAAACATTAAAAAAATTTTAAAAAAGTATAATAAATATATCCCAGGTTTCGAAGACACAGTAATTTATTTATAATTGTTTGAACCTTGTTAATAGTCTCGTATTTTACATATCAAAAAAAACCACAATACTTTGCATGTACTGAATCAAATAACAATATTAAGGGGCACCTGGGTGGCTCAGTCAGTTAAGCATCCGACTTCAGCTCAGGTCATGACCTCAAGGTTTGCATTCAAGCCCCATGTCAGGCTCTGTGCTGACAGCTCAGAGCCTGGAGCCTGCTTTAGATTCTGTGTCTCCCTCTCTCTCTGCCCCTCCCCCACTCATGCTGTCTCCCTCCCTCTCTCTCTCTCTCTCTCTCTCTCTCTCTCACTCTCTCTCAAAAATAAACATTAAAAAAAACTTAAAAAAAAAGAAAAATATTAAGATGAATTCCACCTGTTATTTTTACAGTGTCAATGTGGCCATTAAATCAAGTATTACAAGCATAAACTCACATTACGTTCTTACAGGATAGTACTGCCTTAGAGCACCAGCTCCATGCATCGGACTTGAAGCTGAGCCCCTGGGCAGAACTTGTGCAGTCAGACAGGGAACACCCAAGCTTTCAGTCTACTTCCTCCAGGAGGGTTAAGTGCTGGGAGAATGGATGAAACAGAACAGAACAGCCCTCACAAAGACTGCAGTTCAATTCCAGACAGGATTAACATGTCCTGCTCTTATTATAAGCATCTGCTGATGGCAAAAGTAAACCTTCTCTAGCGGAAGACAAAATCACCCACAACTTCAAATATCTCCACAAGCTTTAAACAGGCTAGTCAAAAATTAATTTAAAAAATTAATTTTAAAAAATTTAAAGAAAGAAAAAAAAGTAGCAATGAACTCCCAATGGATCCAAATACTGTAAGCATCAGACAGACATTAACATTACTATGATTAGTATAGTTAAGAAAATAGACAACAAAAGGGGGAGGGGGGGCACGCTCACGCACAGAGGAGGGGAGGACAGACAGAGGGAGAGAGAGAATCCCAAGCAGTCTCCATGTTGTCACTGCAGAGCCCAACCCAGGGCTTGAACTCATGATTGAGTCCATGACCCGAGCCAAAATCAAGAATTGGACGCTTAACCGACTGAGCCACAAGACTTTTAAAATTTATTTAATGTTTATTTATTTTTGAGAGAGAGAGAGAGAGAGAGCAAGCAGGGGGAGGGCAGAGATAGAGGGAGACACAGAATCCGAAGCAGGCTCCAGGCACTGAGCTGTCAGCACAGAGCCCAACACAGGGCCCGAACCCATAAACTGTGAGATCATGACCAGATCCGAAGTTGGACACTTAACCAACTGAGCCACCCAGGCACCCCAGAGACAGATTCTTAATTATAAAGAACTGATAGTTACCAAAGGGGAGGGGAGGGAAGTGGGGAGATGGGTTAAATAGGTGATGGAGATTAAGGAGGGCACTTGTGATGAGCACTGAATGTTTGGAATTACTGAATCACTATACTGTACCCCTGAAACTAATACAACACTGCATGTTAACTATACCGAAATTATAATAAGGTTTTAAAAATTAAAAATGAAAATTCAGTAAAAAAGAAAATAGATAACCAAGGTTCACCAGAACTAAAATCCATGAAATAAGAACCAAATGGAATCTAGAACTAAGAAATGAAATAGGAAACTCAATATATGGGGTTAACAGCAAATTAGACACAGCTGAAGATGGTACCAGTAAACTGGAAGGTAAAATCATAAAAAATATACAGACTGGAACACGGATATACAAACAGATGGAAAATACAGGAAAGAAGATACAAAGCTCACAGAACACAGTGGAAATGTCCAACCCATGTGTAATGGGATTCCAGAAGAGGAGGACATAAAGATGGGACAAAAGCAATATGCATAAAATAACACCCCAAAGTTTTCCAAAACCGAAGCAAGACATCCAGACATAGATTCAAGAAGTGCTATAAACCATGTGCAAGTTAAATCCAAAAAACACTGTGCACATTACGGCAAAATAAAACACACCAAGAAAATCTTAGAAGTAACATCACAAAAGGCAAGTAGGGATGGGTAGCTGGAGGTTAGTGTTCTAAGACCCTTACATGCCCAGGATGTGGTAGAAGTCAAAGATACGTGTCATAATCTCAGGTGGAACAAGTAAAACTTATAAGAAAATGAATGACAAACTTCCCAAGTGCAAAGTCCAACCTGCCCACCACTCTAAGAACGGTGCATCCAAACTACAGGGCAGACTTGTCCAAGACCACACCTCAGCTATTAAATGTACCACTACACAGACACTCAAGGATGCAATGAAATAATGACCAAAAATTATAAATTCCCAGTGACGTTAAGTAAAAGAAAATGACAGGTGAAGCAAGCTTGCACCATCACCCTACTGTGTGCCATCCTCCATCCTGCCCCCTTGACCATCCACCCTACAGCCCACACAGAAGCACAGCCATCCTGTTGCTCCAATAACCTATGGAGCAACCAATAACCTATGTACGTGTCCCTCCCAAGATCGGAATGGAATTCCAAATCCAACGTGGAGTCAGTGCTCAGTGGACTCCCTTCCTCTGGTGGATGATGGTAAAGTCACTTTCCCAGCTCACGACAGAGACACAGACAAGCCATGCCTGACACCCCACAGGGATTCTCTGCCCCAACTCATGGTGTCTTTGCTCCAACAGGTGGGACCAACCCTGCAGCCCAGTAAAACCGAGGTATGACACTTTGAGAATTGGGAGTCGAAAGAGCTGGTATCAGGGGGTCTCTCCTTGATGCTCACACCCTCGCGGGTGAGATGCCCCCACCTGTTCCACACCTACATGAATCTCTCACTTGAGACCAACATTGAACAATAGCCATGACCTGCCAGATAGCCATGTACCAAGCCCACAAAGGTGACCCTGGACATGACCTCTGCCCTTACATCTCAACCTTGAGCCACACAAACTGATGCCGTCTAGAAGGCAGAGAGGCTCCGTACTAGCAGGTTGGACGTGGCCCCAGCCAACCGCTCCCACTGCTTCCAGATGTGTGTCCTTGGCCACAGGCTACTGCAGGGGCCTGAGTGTCCCAAGTCCTGGGGGCCAGTGTTAGGAGGGTCTCAGTGAAAGGCCTCTGTCTGGCAGACTGATGGAGTGAGGACTGCCTCTCTGGACATTGCCCTGCCGGAGGGCGGACTCACACTGCCACCCCATCAGACAGGTAAACCACACTGAGCACAGCGACGGGATCAGCTAACAACACCTAAGGCCAACCTCCTCATCTCAACTTCCTGTGCTGGCTTTGCCAAAACCCAAAGTGGTCCAGGAAGAGGGAATGAAATCCCTCAGTTCAGTAGCTCCCTACAGGGACAGAACAAATGAATAAGTTAAGTTAGTAAACAAACAGATGCCTTCAGGGCTTGCCCCTCACCCCCAACACCCCACCCCACCCCCTACCTCTGCAGAGCATCCCAGAGACAGGGGCCCTTCTCCAGGTGCAGGGTGGGGCCCCACTCAGCATCCGAGACACAGGGGGGCCCTTCCCCAGGTGCAGGGTCTGGCCCCACTCAGCATCCCAGGGCCGGGGTAGGGGGAGGCCTTTCCTCAGGTGCAGGGTCTGGCCCCACTCAGCATCCCAGAGACAGGGGGCCCTTGCCCACCCAGGTACAAGGTCTGGCCCCACTCAGCATCCCAGAGACAGAGGGCCCTTCCCCATCCAGGTGCAGGATCTGGCCCCACTCAGCATCCCAGAGACAGGGGGTGCCTTCCTCAGGTTCAGGGTCTGGCCCCACTCAGCATCCCAGAGACAGGGGGCCCTTCCCCACCCAGGTGCAGGGTTTGGCCCCGCGCAGCATCCCAGAGACGGAGCGGGGGGCCTGCCCAAGTGCAGGGCCTGCCTGCCTCCACCCATTCCCTGCTAGGATGCCCAGGGATGTGGACCTGAGAGCCAGGCTGTGGGAGCCTGGGAATGTGGCTGGTACAGCTGCAGAGAGCCAGCGTATCTCAGTCAGAGTGGAGTGCACGTGCTCCAGACGGGTAGGCTTGCAGGGACTCAGGACTTGCGCACACACACAGTGGGGTGAGTTCCCGAAGCTCATCCTCTAGCTCACCCCCCCACAGCGCCACTCTGCAGACGTTAGGTCTCGGGCACAGCCCTCACCAACTGACCGTGGAAAGTGCACCACTGTGACCGGCACCCCTAGTCACCAGCACAGACCCTAGGAACACGTGGTCCCTGGCCTGCCCCTGCTCATCCAGCCTCACTCACTCCAGAGCCTCCCACACACCCCATGGTCCTCCCCAAGCCCACAGCAGGAGCACGGCAGCCTAGTAGGGGTGGTGCTCAGCAGGGAGAGGTGGGGACCACTCCCTGAGACGGAAACTGCACAGGGCAGTGAGCCACGCCCCACGGGGCCTGTCCACCCGACTCATGGGTCAGGGCCCTACTGCCCCATCTCTGCCACCCTCACAACCCCTCGCTACCAGGGCACAGAGCACTGAGAAAAGTGCCAGCCTCGCTCATCAGCATCCTCAAGTGTCCTCTGCCCACCTGGACACGGATGGGCTCTTCCCTCCTATGCCACGGGCACCCATGACTCCCCAGGTCAGGGCCGGGGCTCAGACTGCCTGTGATCTGTACAAACAGGTCGTCAACTTCCTCACAAGGCAATGCCACCCTCAGGGCCACCCGTTCTGGGGCCACAGTCATCCCTGCGACTCTGTAAACCGGACGTGGGGGGCGTCCCTGATCCAAGAAGGAGCCTGGGGGCGGCATCCTGAACTGGACACCGGAGGCCGTAGCAACCTGAGCACCCGGACCAGCCTCGCTGGACAAGAAGGGCCGCACCTGCCCACGGCTGCGCAGCCAGACACAGATTTTGTTCCCTCTGCCGGGCACAGCCTAGAAACACCCCCAATCCCTACAGATCCCCCACCTGCCAGCCCCCGACTGCATACGTGTGGACATGCACACTCAGCACACGCAGAGCAAGCGACCCAGCGACGGGAACGGGCGCTCTTCCTCCAGAGAAACCCATTTCCTCCAGTGTCTTCAAGATGTTTCTCAGGAAGAAGCAAAGACACCGTTACACAGAAGTGCACGTGCCCAGAAGGCTGTGGTGCTCAGCGGGGACCCTCGCCCTTGGCCCTGCAGGGATGGCCACCAAAACCCAGGCTGGGCATGTGTGGCATTTCTTCACCGCACAGCTATTTACGGTTGTCAAGAAATAGTACAGACGCGGAGGACAGCGGGCAGTCAGGTGGGGCCACAGGTGAAAAGCACCAGGCTGGGGTTTAATAAAACTCCCACGGTGAGGACCAGACGATGAAGGAGAATGGTCACCTTCAGGAGGCGAGCCTGGGGCCTTGCTTCCTTCTTCCTGTGTCCCCGATTCTCTGCAACCTGAACTTCACGAACCTGTAAGCAGAGCAGCCCTCCGGCCACGCCCCTGTGCTGGGCTTCCCTCCCCCAGGGGAGGTGACCGTGCACTTATTTCCTCAAGTGCCCCCTTCCACGTCTGTCCCCTAAATGGCTGCAGAGTTTGCCTCCCCGGAGACAGAATTCCCAATTTTGTAAAAGCCACAAACCCCGAATGCCTCTCCTTGTTGGCTCTCTGGCTCAAGGAGGCAGAGGGGCAAGCGGGCAGAGAGTGCATACAGCACCTCCCACGTGCCGAGTGCCCGTATAGTGCCCGCTGGGCGCTGGGTGCACCTATATCGCCGGCTGGGCACCGGGTACGCCTGTAGCGCCCACCGTGTGCTGAGTGGCAGGACACAGGGTCCTCCCTGGAGGTGGCGGTCAAGGTCCCCCCTACCTTCAATGTCTGCACATGGGAGTTCACCCAAGATTGAGAGTTTGGGAAGTAGATTCATATCCAAGATGTGCCCAGTAATAATGAGAGAGAGGAGGCTGGATGGTCGTTCCACTTCCTGGCCTCCTTGGGATTTCCATGATGACAAGGCAGAAATACCTCTGCTGGGCCTCAGTGCACTTCCGGCATGGCTGGCCTTGCCTCTGATGCGAACGCCCCAGCCTGGCCAGGCACAGGCATCCTGGGTGGCCCCACTCCCCGGCCCCCGCAAGCTGCCGTCACCCCCACCAGGCAGAAGACGAGGTGGAGGGTCAGGGAGATGCTCTGGCGACCCTACGGTGCTGCACACCTAGCCGCCTGCATTACACATTCCCCCAGGAAGCCCAGGAGCCAGTGCATGAGCCCCCGAGGGGCCATGGGCCGCACACCCCACTGGGCTTGTTCCCCAGAGGCTCCCCTCCCTGCGGGCAGCAGGTGCATCACGCGTCACCCTCAGCACTCCTTGAGGGTGGGCCGGGCCCACACAGACCCCAGCATTGGCCCACAAACAACCCCACCCAGCACCCAAGCGTGCAGGGGCCAGGCAGAGCCCAGGGGTCCCCGTCACGGTGCTGTCACCAAGGAGTGCCACACGCCGAGGTCACCTGTGCTCACAGCCACCAGGACCAGCCAGTGGGGCAGCTCGGACCCTACAGGAGCAAGAGGCCCACGTGGTAAGAAGAAGCTGACCTCGGACGCCATGCCATCCACGGGGCCTCGAGGGGCACGCAGGTGTCTCAGAAGGAGACTCCCAGCAGAGACACGCACGACCACCTGGTGGCCTTGGTGACCTCATCCTGGGCAGAGTGTGGGATCTCACCACGTGAGGCTCCCCGTAGGGTCTGGGCCGCGGTTGGCACCAAAAAGCAACTTCCCCCAGAGCTCCCGGGAAACTCTTCTTCCGGCCACTGGCTAAGCCCTGAGGCTGAGGGGCTTCTGTCGAGCTACTACCATGACCACCGGTCTCTCCCAGCATCCAGAGTCACTGCCCAGAGCCCCGAACACCCTGTGGACCTCGGGACGTGCTTGCTGCCTCGGAGGCTGCTCACGGGAGCTGGCGTCTCTGACCCTGTCTACAGGGGAAGGAAGGGCCAGTGTCTACGCAACCACAGGGAGCCCTAAGGCCTCCCTGAACACAGCCCCAGCTCTGCCTGAGCGGAACTCACTTAAAGAGTAAAAGTCAACACCAAAGATAAAATAAAATCTCTCCGCAGTGCCAAAAATACCTCCCCTAGGGATGAGGGAGCAGGCGCCAGCTTCCACAGCAGCAACTGTTGCTATGGATACAGGGCTCCAGCCGGCAGGGGGGTGGGGACAGAGATGAGGGAAAAGG